TTTTATTTTATTATTTTTATTGATCTTAGAAGAAGGGAGAGAGAGAGAGAGAGAGAGAGAGAGAGAGAGAGAGAGAGAGAAAGAGAGAGAGAGAGAAACATCAGTGTGAGAGAAACATCCATCGGTTGCCTTCCACACACACCCTAAGCAGGGATAAAACCTATGACCTTTTGGTGTTGGGGCAATTCTCTAACCATCTTGAGCCACACAGGCCAGGGTACCTCCTCTTTTTCTTATGATCAGTCTTGCTAAAGATTCATCTCTTGCCCTAACCCGTTTGGCTCAGCGGATAGAGCGTCGGCCTGCGGACTCAAGGGTCCCAGGTTCGATTCCGGTCAAGTCCCAGTGGGGAGTGTACAGGAGGCAGCTGATCAATGTTTCGCTCTCACTGATGTTTCTAACTCTCTATCCCTCTCCCTTCCTCTCTGTAAAAAAATCAATAAAATATATATATTTTTTAAAAAGGTTCATCTCTTTTGTTAAAGTTTTCAAAGAACTAGCTTTTTATATCATTGGTCTTTTTTTCCATTAATTTCTGTGGGGTTTTTGTGGGGGTTTTTTACTTCTTTGGGGGGCTTACTCTGTTATTGTTATAATTAAAATGGGGTTTTTTTAAGCCTCTTTAGTTGAGTGCTAACTACTTATATTGTCTCTTGCTTTTTCATCATTGTGTTTAAAGCTGACAGTTTCCCTCTAAGAACGGGGTAGCTGCATCCCACGGATTTTTATTTGTATACCTTTGTTGTTGTTCAGCTCTAGATATTTTGCATTTCCATTGTGATGTCCCCGTTAGTGCACAAATTAGTTAGGAATGTGCTTTTTAGTTTCCACACATGTCTGTGTTTCTTTTGATTTCTCATTTCTTTGTGGTCAGAGGATGGGGTTTATCCAATCTTAATTCCTTGGAAAACCTAAACTATACCTTTCCGAGGTTTCATCCCAGCTTATGAATAAGGCCTCCGAACTCCACCACCTTTGCCTCAATAAATAAACATGCCAATGAAATTGATGGCCATCTGGTACCAAGCAAAGATACCAAGCAGATGGTTCTGCATTTCCTACAAATCCCGACAAGTTGACCTGGGGAAGAAAATATTGAGCATCTCTGTGTGATCCCCGCCTCCCAAACTTGAGTCTAAGAACTATTGCTCTGCTCCTCCTATGAAGATGAAAGCTAATATTCTTGGTTACAACCAGGTCTGACGGAGAAAGCAAGCATGGCTAAGGGCTCACCTAGGAACGTCTCTGCTGATGAGAGCTGAAGGGCAACCGTGCCGAGGTGTTGGCCCTTAACTCTGCCACGGGCAGCGCCCTCCATCCCCATCAGGGCTCTTCTATCCTCACATCAAACTGTGGGAAGTGTCAGACCCAAACCTTAATATATCCCACTTAGTGGAAATAGCAGAAGCAACACTTTCCAATCACAATGCAGTGAAACTTGAAATGAACAAAAATCTGTCTGGAAAACTTTTAAATATCCTTTTAATTCTTGAGCCAAAGAGAAAGTGCAAATTGAAAATTTAAGTATCTAGGAAGTAACATCAATAATATATATTTTCAAATACATCAGAGCCCGGGCTGGGTAGTTCAGTTGGTTAGAGCATCGTCGAAATGTGCCAAGGTTCTGTGTTCGATCCCTGGTCAGAGCACATATAAGAATCAACTAATGAACGTATAAATAAATGGGACAACAAATCAATGTTTCTCTCCTTTCCTCTCTCTCTAAGATCAATAAAAATAAAATAAAATATATCAGAAACTAAAGATAAAGCTAAAGAAAAATTGAACCATTTAGAGAAGGATATAAAGTCTTAATTACATTAATAAATGGCAAAAAACAAAATAGATTAATAAAAAATTCATTAAATTAGAAAAAAATGTAAAGAAAGCAGAAATAATGAATTAACCAATATAAAATTTTTAAAAAGCTATATTCCTATTAGAAGCAATAATAAAATTTTTATGCTTTGTTTCATCCCATCTTCTTTATTCCACCAAATTTTAATCAATGTATTATTAGTAGTAGTTCTGCTAGGGATTATCTCTATATTTTTAAATATATTTCCGTCTCTATAATTTGACTTATTACATGTAAATGTTATCTTTTGACTGTGAATAGTAAAGATAAGGAAATCAACATTCTTTTGCCACACGCCATCTTCTTACATGTCTCCTCCTTGAGTTTTATTAGTTTTATTACTTTTACTAGCATCTATATATATAAAAGCCTAAGTGACTGGAACGACCGGTCACTATGACGTGCACTGACCACCAGGGAGTAGACGCTCAACGCAGGAGCTGCCCCCTGATGTGCAGTGTG